TATCGTACTGATAGGATATACACGGTGAGTGCTGGTATAAACTACGCATGATGTAGGTAATATGAATCGTACCTGGCCAGAGCCAGTCTCCAGTCGGCATCTTAGCTTCGACTTCCAATCTACCGTGAGTAAATGCAAAGGATTTGACAGTCCTAAGTCTGGCGGATTGGATAGGGTTGATGTAGTTGCTAGCACTTCCCGATCTCTCACAGCCATAGTAATAGTTACCAGTACAAAGATCAGCCGGTGATGCGCCTATAACAAATCAACAGCATTATAATAATGATGATGGTATTATCTAAATAGCACTGCAATACTTGGAGAAAATTCTGATGATATTGATAGAATATAGCATTTACACATACATACCAACATTTATAGCACTGTCCAATGAAGATGACAGCGTTTTTCACTGTTTTGTATATTTTTACTAATAGGCCTATACTGTATAGCGATGAAATACATCTATGTATTGAAATATGGACATAGAAAATGTGTAGATCTGCTAAAAGAAAACCGTAGCCTATAGTCATGTGTATTTCAGATGTGATTTAACAAATTAATAAAATATTGTGTTATACGAAGAAATAGACACTTGCCAACGCTTTAGACATAGGCCTAACAATAAAACTTATGTATGAATGATTGAATTTTAGTTATTTCACGTGTAAGATGTCTTAAAAACCAACCCCATATGTTCAGAACACCACTGTTTAAGAATCCATCGCCGTATTTGTCTTCAGTCAAAGTCTACAAAAGTAAACAAGAACAATACAATAATATATCAGTACCGTCTAGCCTTTTTATCTAATGATATCGCCATGGTTATAGCGAATGTCAGCAACGTATCCAGGAGTCTTTAAATTGGTGAATGAAGGTGGGGGTGTATTTAATTATTTTGCAGATAACCTAGTGCATTAGCACTCCAACTTACTGGTTAGAAAGAGAAAATATTAGAATTACTTTGACCAAGGACAATAATTGTGTTTAAACTTAATATATTAGACGTTTATTATCATTTAAAACATTGAAATACAGGAAATAACTGTCATCGGTAAAATAACTATGATTGTGAGACATAATACATAGCAACATCATATTGTAGCATAGGAACTTATTTTACACAAATATATTTAGGGTATTTCATTGAATCTAGAAAAAAAACCCAGAAATAAAGAAGCCTAGAAATAAATTTCTAGGCTGTAATTTCGTGTTGCCATCTATCGAGGTCAAACGTGTCGAATTGTTCATCAAATATCAATGATCCTTGAAATAAAAATATTCATGTTTAGAAAAAAAAAAAAAAAAAAATTTCTAATACTAGTAAGCTTACTTACGGGTTTAATGTAC